GGTTAACAACTTAATTAACAAATATTAAAACTTTCTTTTTAGAATCCACCCTATTTAAAAAATAAATAAATTGCTGTATTATAGAATGTGAATGGGGTAGCTCAGTGCTGAACTTCCAATGCTCAAAGTCCCAGATTCAAATCCCGGCTCATGGCAGAAAAATTATTTATTCTCTCTCATGAGCTGTGGGGCAACTCTGGAGTCAGGAGACCCGCCTGGGGCACACCCAGCCTCAATAAAATGGTACCCTTAATTAAATGATCAATTAAGGGGAAAAACCTGGCGGTTGAGCTGGTGATCTTGGTCAAATCACCTCCTTGCACAACCGTTGACCAAGAAACAGTGCTTTTCTTAAATAGTATTGAACCTAAGACCCCTTGATTGAACTGTTCATGGGTTGTAGTGGTACAGGTATTATAGAATATATAACATAATAGTAGCTGTGAAGCCCACTTCAATAATTATAATTTAAGAGATCCCATGGCCATCTTCTTTTCTGATGCCTCGAAGGGGAAAAAAAAAAATGAACTAGAGGGTTTGGATAGGCTAAGAGTTCACAATTGAAAGAGATATATCTATTCCCAGAATTTGACAAATTCATCAATAGCGGAAAAAAAAAGGACTTGTGGCCAACCTGCTTGAAAGGGACTATAGTAAATTTTGCTACCATTGTTAGGGTTGTCCCAGTCTATTTCTGAGGAGGTAGATGTGAGTTCATTTACATCTACTCCTAAACCAAGCATCAATCGAGGACAGCATCAGATGGAATCAGAGCTGCCTCTTAGAATACTTGAACAGTTGATCTCAGCTGAATCCCCAGACGACCAGTTATTTTTTTATTCCATTATTCCTTACGTTAAGAAATTTAGTGAAATTCAAAAATTATTAAATTCACAATTTGATTCACTATGTGATGAGAAACTGTTCAGGGCCGGGGTTTTAAGCGGGGCTTGAAGCAAAAAAAAAAATTATTATTAAAAAGTTTCAGTATTAATGGAATTTTTACTGTTGATAATATTTCAGTTCTTCAAGAACTAGAACTCTTTTCCTTACAAATTTTCAAGTAAAGGTTTTACAGAACTTTTATTTAAAAGTAATGTTGATTTTGCTAAACTTATTTTTATTCTTAGCCAGGGGTGCCCAGAAGATTTTATGGCACAAGCTGCGCCATCAAAATTTTTTAAGGGGGCATATTTTGATAGGTTTTTGAATTTTTGAGGGAGACAAATTTTGATGGGGTTATGAATTTTCCAACTAAGTGACAAAGGGAAAACATAGAATAGACCATAGTAAGTGTAATTGTATATGATCTATGATTTTTCTAATTCTACCTTAGCTTCCTCTGTTTTTAAGAAAAGGTGAGCAATGAAATATGTTGGGAGGAGGGGGACAGGTAGGTTCTTGGGCCATCGACTTTGAGGGGATGGACATCCCTGTTCTTAGCTACTAAAACAAATAGCACATTAGAACCACAGATTTCATTTATGACAAATTATAACTCTAGTCTAAACCCAATTAATGTTTAATTTTCTTTTAACAGAACTTTTTTTAATAACTTATAAATAAATACTAATTGAAGTTTTATTACAAAAAAAAACCCTCAACTTTTATTTTAAGAACATTTTTCATAAATGAAGAGAAGAATAGTTGGGGTGCTCAGTCAAAAAGGAAGGCAAAAAATAAATTATAATATTCATTTTTCACATATGCCGACGTTTCGACCTGAAGTTCAGGCCTTCATCAGGGCTAAGAAAATAACCAGATAACAAGGTATGAGAAACATAAGTAATGATGGTAAAAAAGATAATAAAAAATGAGAAAATAAAATAAAAAAAAATTATTAGAAAAATAAAATAGATAGATATAAAGTAAAATGAAATTGTTAGAATAATGACTAAGAACTAAGAGATAAATAATAAAAACTGTTACATAGTGTGAGGAATGATGAAGTAGGCATAATCAAAAAGGGGTGACAAAAGTGTTACATTGGGAATCTTAGAATAAAATGTAAAAACATAAAAAAGAAATATAAAGTTATATAAGAAATGAAAATAAAATAAATAGTAAAATTAAAACATTGAGAATGGAGTAGTTAGATAGAAAATTGAGATATTGTAAAGTCTATCAAGATGTACAGACAATGTATAATATAATAAAGAGTTAAAAACAGAGAAAAGGAATGAAAGGAAGGAGGGAAGAAATTGAGAAAGCTGAAATAAAAGAAGTACTACCTTTCTCCTTAAGTGTCAAGGGGAGAATAAAAGTCGTTACAAGGGAGGGGGAGAGAGAAGAGATGTGAAGGTGGCGTCATCTCTAACGGTTATCAGACGAAGTTTGAACTAAAAGGGCTGGAAGCCTAAATAGGTACGAGAGATATATTATTTAGAAAAAATATGGAAAATTGAACGAAAGTTAATAGAAAGTGAAAGAAAAATATAAAAGAAAAATAACTATTGAGTAATAAGGGAGAAAAATTGAAATAAAAATATATCATATATATATACATATATATATACACACACACATACATACACGTATATATATATATATATATAAGGGAGTTGTCAGCAAAAAGGAAAGGAATATAACTATGGATGTTTTAATAAATTCAGAATTTGGGAATAGGCTAAAGAAAAGTTCTGTTTGTCAGATTTAAGATTCACTGTCTTTGGTTGAAGCTGGATGTGGAGGGTTTCAGAAATGAGTCGTTTGTCATGGTTGAGAACTGTGACAAGGATGGATGTTTTGTTGGAACATTATTTTTCATAAATGTTTCACCCACTGGTTTTAAGTATATTGAAGAAAATAAAAGAATGAAAAGGATCTGAGGTTGATTTGCAAACAGTTCTTCATCACATAGTGAGTCAAATTGTGAATTAATTTTTACAAAACAATAAAGTACAGGTAAAAGGTTAGATGCCAGCACCAAGTGAAGATGTGATCAATAAAACCATTTTCTGTACTCTTGAAAAAATTTCATGGGGTGACCAACATCACAAGATTTCTTTTACATTAGTAAGCAATTCTAGATTTGGAAAGAAGAAAACATTTCAATTGCCAAGACCTGTTGGCCACTTTTAATTAATTCTCACAATCCTATGCATCTTTTTCTCATTTAAATCTCTCCTTTTTAAGCACCTACTCCTTTCCCAATCCGACTGATCATGAAATGTTACTTAAGAGAACTTCTTAAGATCCCCCAGAAACCATGTTTATTTATGTTATTTTATTTTCCTTTGTTCATTCTATATATATGTATGTTTTTAATTTGTTCTTTATTCTTCCTATTTTTGTGTATGTATGTTTTTTTTCTTTATTATTTTTTAAATATTTAATTTAATGCATGGCCACACAGGCATTTTCTCAGTATTTATACTTTGTTCTAAAGGGGCAACAGTCCCAGAATAATAAAAATATTTTCATTTCATCAATCCAACACAAAGTTAGCAGATTTGCATTTATCAACAATATTCTCAACTGTTTTTTTAAGATGACTCATTTAACAAATAGATCTTATGAGTATTCCAGTTCACTAAAACTTCCTATTAAAAAGAAAATTGCTTGTTTTCACAGATGATTTTTCAACTTCTAATTGAATAGAAATAAAATATTCACAAGGCTTACAACTGTGTATTAACATTCTTTTAAAATTGATTCAGCACAATAATTAACTTTATCCTACAAATTTGTTGCTTAAAATATTCTTATATCATATCATTACAACTAACTTATTTAGTTTCATCATATGTATTTGCTATTGTTTCTTAATTTAGTCATTTGAATATTATTTTATGTGATTGATTAGCATTGTAAATTTTATAATTTGATCAAAATAAGCTAAGACTGGGTAAAGAAGCTTCTGAGCTATAGTTTGGAGACCACAGGTTTAAACAATTGAGACAAATAAGTTTATCGGGTTCAATATCACTAACTACTATGGATTGGGATATAAATGATTTCAATTTTTGTGTACTAAATTCACATTTTAGTACATTGTGTAAAAGACCATATACCTTTTGTTACATTCTTAAATATTTATTTTTTGTAATATAAAGTATATACAAAGTTAACAAGTAAAACTGAGCCATTATTATTAACCCATGAAGGATCTTTAGCATAACGTATATGTTAAATTATTTTTTATAATTAAAAAAAAAAGTATTTCTGTATCTATATTTTGTTGTTAGTATGATCTGAAATTTCATCAAAAAGATGTTTCGAAGACCTTAGGGTCAGTTAAAAAAACAAAACAAATTACGGTCTAGATAAAAGTGATCACAGAATAAAAAAGATTTTTAATTAATGATTTTACACCATATTAGATAAAATGACCAATGCGTGATATTGCAGAGTGCTTCCGCAGTTCTATCACAACATTATAGTTCTTCGACTTAGGATATGACCATTCTAAATTCTAAGCTCAGCAAACCAATTTATCCAGTATTGTCTTCTTCGAAAGTCATTTCAGGTTGCCTTAATAGACACCACACAATGGTGGTTATCCCCAAAAAATAATTTAATAATAATAAAAATATATTGAATTAAATAAAAGCTGTTGGGTTTTTCAGATGAAATCGCATATTTTTATCAGTGAAACTAGGTTTGTTTAAAAGTAATAAGTGGTTTAGGCCAATAGATTTAAATAAAAACAGCAATTTCTTACATAAGTATTTAAATTTCTAATAGCACCAGACAAGTTTTAAATAAAAATAAAAAAGTTTATTAATTCAATAAAAAAAAAAAAAAAAGGATAGAGAAGACATAGAATAATTTTCTGCCAGTTCAGAATATTAATCATAAAAAAATAGCACATTTCAATAAAAAGTGATATGCAGAATAATGAGTTAGTTATAAATAAGCTCTAATAAAAGAAGAAACATAAAAAATTGTCTCTAATTAACCCAGGTCATATCACTGTTAAGTTTATTTACAAAATTCACTTTAAAACAAGCTATATGTTAAATTAATAATAAATACCTATTTATAAATATATATTAAAATAAAAATATATATATACATAAAAAAAGAAATAAATTATTTACAAAATAAATAACATCAACAACTTAAGTTACTAATGATTAATAGAATAGTCTTAACATCACAATGTAAATTTGTCGAGATAATACTCTTTTTTTTTCCTTACATACATCATAACGATTCCACATAATCTAAACATTAAGTATACAATTTATAAAAAAATTCATCATTGCACATTATTTCAAAGATTTTTCATAAAACTAATTTTATCAATTTTATGAAGTAATTACATCTATTCGACGGCTGAGAATAAGTAGACTAGAGGCTAAACAAGATTTATTCAAAGATACATTAAGAAACGGAAGAAGACCAGTAAGAACCTTTAAGAACATCTAAAAAGATTCAGGAAGAAAGTATCTAATGTGCACAGACCTCTACCTTACGTAATAACCCCAGACCAATAATTGACCCTTTAGTACAATTAGTTGAATGTGCACAAAAATTGAAATGACACCAATAGAGGAAACCAAAAAAGGCTTCTTAAATAGCCATAATGCTTATTCGACGGAGAGTTGAGAATAATCAGTCATCGTATTCAGACAGTGATATTTCATGGAACATATCACCTTTCCAAGCAACACAGATGCAGTAATGTTGAAACAACTGTGTTAGCAGCTCCTGTTCGTCTAATAATTCTATTTTCTCAACCCTTTCTCTCTCACTACCATCAATTGCAGCATAAATTTCTACCATCGTCCATGCTTTGGCTCCATCCCAGTTGGTCGTTATGAACCTAAAATATTAGAATCAAGTATTAAAAATTATTTTCTAAGATAATGTCCCCTCCTATTTAATTTTACACACTCAAAAGATATTCGAGCACCTTAACTAGCCCAATCTAACCATTTTCTATGACTAATTATGAGCTTTCTGAAATGTAGTTTTTGATGGCATAGTATTATAGCTTGAGACACAACCCATAACTAGGATAGACCAAGAGCTGTCTACTGTTATTCCACAGATCTATGTTCCTCCCACTTTTATAAATTAAGTGCCTAATTGCAATCATTACTTATAAACTGATGACTAAAGCTTATATTGACAAGTTAAATAATCTTAATGTATAGTTAGTTGAGATCAAGAATGAATAAGAATTAATATTTCAGTTCAATTTACTTTCTTTGAAACTAAACTGAAAAAGTTTCTAGAAATGAAAGGTCATGGAATGAAGTAATTTTCAGGCCTTTCTTCCACAAAAAAAAAAAAAATTGTATAATATTGTTCCTCAAAGATACACCAGAAGGAAAGAAAATATTAATAAAAAATTGTTTTCAGTTTGACAATCCCTCCCTAGATTTGGATTGAATTGCTGGCTTATGGGATTATTCTACAGGTAACCAACCGATTCTAACCAGGCTTTGAAGGTCAAGATTCATTAGATGGGTACGCCAAAAAATAGATTTCAATCCCTGGCTGGGATTAAACTGGTGCCTTTTTGACTTGCCTTTACTAAGATGACCTCATTTCGATAATGCAATTACTTTCTTGCTTGGTTCATACAATATGTTAGTTACCTAATTCCATTATCCTAAATCCCTATATCTCCATACCGTTTTCTTTAAAATTACTAATGATTCTTCCCTTTCAACATTTAACCATTTCTATAAAAATAAAAAAAAAATTATTTCCTCCTGTTCTCCCCAATTCATAGGATGTAAAGTAATTATCAAGATGCCACATAATAAATATAACATACTTTTCATAGAAAAAAAAAATAAAAAAATTGTACCCCTTTCAGTCTCTGAAAACAAATATGGAGAAAGGATAGGAAAGGTTTTCCTGCTAATACGAAATTGCCAAGGATCCTGAAACCCTTTGGAACAAAAAGAATAGTATGCAGGCTGTAAATTAAAGCAATATCCCCCCTTTGATAGAATATGAGAAAACAGCAGAAAACAACAAATACAACAGAACTCTGCGAACCACTTTGTAAGTCTTCATCACGGCACTGCTGGAAGCAGTTGGGGGATTTCATAATTTTATTAAGTACTTTGGTGAATTTTTCCTCTGAGAAACCAAAATTTTTAATATTATATATATAATAAAAGCTATAAACAAAAAATATTTTCAGAAACAGATGTTTAAAAAGTGGATAGAAGTTCTTGCTCAATAAAATAAAAGTTGGTCAACTCATCACAAAATTTTGTATTTTCCTGTTATATATGGAGCTAATTTTATCATTCACTAGCAGCCAGAAACATGAGAAATGGTTATCAACTAAATTGTGTTCAAACATGGATTTTGTCTAATTCTTTATGAAGCAATTCAAATATGATTTTTAATTTGCATTTAAACAATTAAAATCTCGCATTATAATATAGTCATTTAACAGCTCTTATATAATATACCTAGAATTATTTAATCAATCTAAAGAATTACTGTACAGTTACTAAGATAATTTACTAATCATAGTAACTGCCCAGAAACTAATCTATGAACTAGATGAAATATATTACTAAATTTAAAATTTGTCATCACTAAACACGGAACAAAATATCGTAAAATCTTTAAAGTAATATTGTTACACAAACATAGATAGTTAGTAACATATGAAACATTAAAATGTGTACAATTCCATTAGGTACATACCTATTAATTTGTGAATCAAGAGACTTACAAGAATCAACACCAGACAGAGGACACCCTCTAGCTCTTAAATTTTCCAACATTATTTCACCAAATCGGTCATCCATATTAACCTAAAATATGAGTTATGAAAACAACTGATACATACGCTGATATAAACAACAGGTAATCAATTAGAGGGCCTTACTTGTTCATAATTTACAAATAGAGAAAGAGGAAATTGCGATGTTAGCCATGAAAGGAGGTTGGATACAGATGTTGATTCTATGTAAACAAGTACACATTCTGCTAGAAACAAAGTTGGAAGTTGAAAATTTACTTCTGATTCTTTTAGCTTCAGAGCAACTTCAGACAGATTTCGGATATCAGCACCAACAAGATGATAATTTCCACCATGTAATTCTGTTGAGCTCAATCTTACTTCACCATCTTAAAACATAATAATAAGTTTTAGTACATTCAATTGAAAAAAAAAGGCTAGAAGATGATTCTTGAACCTACCAGTCACACCCAATCCATCTAAAAGTACTTTGCTTCTTTTAATGGCATAACATTTCCTGGCAGTAACAGAGGGAAAATCTACTTCAGTGAAGCTCTCAAATTTACACTCTTGATCTTTGAGTCTCCAATACAGGGTATCAAAACCAGCACCAAAGTTAATTATCTGGCATTTGGGACCTGCTATCTGAAATTAAAACTGTATTAAAGAGTTTTCAAATAAAACCTACAACTAATTAAACAAAACATATACACCTATTGACATGCCTTTAAAAAATTCCTTATGAAAATGGCAACACCCTCTGTTCGAGCGAAATAGCCGCGGTTTATTTCTGGCGGCTTTCTTTCTGAAGAACGCACAAGAATTGGAAGAAAGCGGTCGTTCCAATAACCCAAACGAACGGCAGATTTCTTACATTCACTAGCGTCATCATTCGTGGATTGGACTGCTTCGTCTGATTCCATTTTATAAATATCTCAATTCAAGAACCATAGACGAAAGAATAGTCAAACTGAATAACAAAATTAAAAAGGTTTGCCGCAATGAAATGTTGTGAAGGTTATCAAATTGATAATATAACCTTCCCTAAACCTATATTAAAAGGATAAATCCTTGAATAAGTGTTGCCGTTCGTATTTGCATCAGTCCAATCAAATTATCAAAAATGGTTAAAAAAAGTGGAATAATTTAGATTTTCTTATATTATTATATTTTATCTAGATTGGTATAAAGATGGAAAATTAAACAAAAAATAAGTTTTTCAATACTCCTAGTACCAGAAGCGCCATTATTTTAAGAAAAGGTGCTATTTTTTTCATATATCCCTTTATTTTCTAAATACCTTTTTTAAAGTATGGATCCGACAAAAAATGTATTTTGTACTTTTTTTTTTTACTTTTTTAAATTATCTAGTTTTTGAGACCAATTAAAAATTATTGAATTAATAGAACCAACCATAAATAGTTCTTTATGAGGATTGAGAATAAGGATGAGGCATAGGAAATAAGCAATAAGGAAAAACATAGGAGTGGGCAGCCCCTGGTTACAACCACCAGTTTAATTTTTTAACTTCTAAATTTACATTAAAATAATGTTTAGATGAAATCTTTACATAATATCTTCGTTCCATACTTTATAAAAGGCTTCAGTTGCTGAGGAAAATTATCCTAGGGATCTCTGGTTTCTCTTCATAAACCTAATTAGATTTTTTACGCTTATTAATTTATTGGAATTATATAACCAATCCTATGACAATGTTTGGCATACTTAATATTTATGTTAGCACTGAATAGGTGAAGTTTAAAATGAAACTGGTTTCCTCTTGTCATATAGACCAGAAAAAAAAAAGTTTTGTTCAGTTTCATATAGAAAAACAACTGTGGCTGATGTAATTAAATGATACAAAAAAAAAAAAAAATTACCTTCAAATAACAAAGAGACATCATTTTTCACACATTCATGCCTCAAGAGCAATATAATTTTTTTTAAACATAAAATCAGATTTTAAAATCGAGAAATCATTTAGTTTATTATACTTACTTAATTTAATTTTTTATTTAAGTATTCATAAATTCTCTTATATGTACAAAATCAACTTGAGGTTTTGAGTTCGATTTCTTTCTTTTTTTTTTTTTTATACTTAACTTTCTTGTAACCACACTAGGTAATCAACCTGTCCCATCCTTCTCCATTCTTTCCTCTCTAATGCTACTCTCTTCCAGGCTGCTCCCCCACAGGGGATAATAATATTATTATTATTTAAATATATATAGATATATTGATTTCTATATTAATTATTTATAATTTAGAATAGTAATGGATTCAGGGCTAAATTTTAGAAGTTTTTATATCTGTAAAAAGGATAATTACTCTGGAATAATAAAAAAAAAAAAAAAATTAAAATATAAAATGATGCTTATGTGGTTTTTGAATGTTTTTTTTTTTTTACCAAAAAACAAAGGTAATTACAGGACCCATAATGCTTTTAGAGATTTTTTTGTATACTCTTCTTGACAAGTGCTTACTCACATTTAGTAGTTGTATGAGTGTTATATTTTTTTTAAAAGTACACATATTGTGATTGTTTAAGTATTTAATTCAGATCATTAGGAAACAGATATGGTACAATGAAAAAAAAAAATTATTTTCTTATTTTGGGAGCTTCAGCCCAAAAGCTCCACCCCATACTGATGGAGCTAAATTTTGATTGAATGGATGTTTTATAGAAGTAAAAATTAGAAAATTAAGATTTGAAAAACTTGTCCAGTTCAGTATGCATAATCAAACCCATGTGAAAAGGACGGTGAGAAAGTTGGGAAATATTTATAGAATACTAATTTGTAAGAATTTAATAAACTGACTATTAAATAACATTTCCAAGCAGAAAAGCGACTACTAGAGGAAGATTATCAAAAAATGTCTCACTAAGATAGTAAAAATTTCATAGAAAATGAGAGTTAAAGTGGTTAAATGAATTTGTAGGAAAAAGTTTTATTGCTAATATGAAATGGTTAAGTGATAAATTTCCATTCACACAATTCCAATATTAGGTCCATGACTGAGGAGCTGATAGAGGTTATTTATTTATGTGCTAATCTTCCCTGCCAATTAGGCAATAAGCGTGTTTGCAGTAGTGCAATTTTATACGAGGCTACATTGCAAATGAAATAAGATTTTCAGTAAAATAAAAGCACCAGGTTTTTGCAGCTTCGGGAACCACACCCTGTAGAAGGCTTACAAACGTCAACTGAGTAAGAATTTTTAATGTTTTGAAAATGATAATTAGTCAACTGTAGTTAATTTACTTTTTTTTTTATGTAAGATGTGTTGTATTTGGTCTGATTGTGTAATTTTGGTTTTTTTTAACCTGATGCATAATTTTGTGGGTTAACTGTTTACCAGCATTTAGTGGGAAAGGTTTTGTCTTCGGAGTTTTCCAATTATGTAATTAGAATAAAAAAAAACCTTGTTTTAGTAGGAATGTTTGAAAAAAAAATCCTACGAAATTAATTAACAAAAACAAGATAATGGTTTTTATTTCAACATTCTGAAATAAAAACTAATTATTCCATACTTAAATTAATTACCTTCCCTTTTAGCATTTTTTTTTTTAGGCTGAGATTATTCTTACCAAAAAAATTAATGTTGCACTTGAATTTTAGACACATTGATTGAGGTACAATTAAAAAAAAAAAAAAAATCGTAACTGATATAAAACCATTGCTATTTTATCATGGTGTTATTCATTGTTGAAGTTTTTCATAAAATAACAGGAAACTAAGTTAATTCATCATGCGGAGACAACATATTAGGGCATGCTTACGATATGATTTTACTCAAAAAGTAATATCAGTTGCAGTTTTCAGAAACCATTGATGCTAACATAAAAGAAAACATTCAACAAATTTTATCTTTAGTTTTTCTGACACATTCAGGAAGCTAGGGGACAGATCTTATTAACGATGTGTACTTCTTCATACTTCTTTTATTAGTCAATTATTAAAGTATTATTCTCTGATTTAAAAAAAATCCATAATTCTCCAAAGCGGTTCATGTAAATATTGGAGAATGAAATTCAGGATTTAACAATAATAAAATATAGTTACATTTAAAACATGTAATTTACAAATGCTCCAAATGTAACAAATTGACATATATCTATGTTATTTAAATATATTTATATATATATAATTTCATGTATGTATAATTTTGTACATAAAAAATAACTTTAAATTAGTGTAGATATCAGAACATAAGGCAGTGCCAGAATAAGTGATAAACGAGCAAAAGATATGACAATATTAAAAAATAAATATATACATTTTATTTAGATGAAATTACAGAGAATAAACAAAATAACAAGAAAAAAATTACTTGTTTGATCAAAATATTCATTTCTTAAATATTACACTTGCCTAAATGCACAAACTTTAAAATGAAACAAGATCATATTTTTCAAAGTAAGAAATTAAATGTAACTGGCATTTTTTTATAATTCACAAAACTAAAACAGTTTACTGAAAAATATGACTACATTGGGGGCAACTGTAATACTTAAGCATTTGTTTTATAGGAATATTGTAAATATTTATAATAAAAATCACAATATTATAATTTACCTAATAAAAAAACAAAACAATAATAATAATAAACCAAATGCAGGTACAATTTTTAAAACAGGTGGTCATTAAAAAATATAAACAATATTAAAGCCCAGAACACACATAACAGTCTCCACATTTATTTTATTTTTCAATATTTTAATTTATTACTCGTTCACACAAAATATGTATTGATACGTTTAAACCATAAATGTTTTTGTATGACAGTTTAGTTGCAAACACTAAGAATTAACGTAAACAGATAGACCAATTTAAATAAATTGAAAGAGCTGTTAAAATAACATGCCTTATCATTAAGGGAATACATAATTACAAGTAAATGCTAAAAACAAGACGGTCAGTAAGTCACGGAATAAAAATATACATATAAGTTATTCGCTATTGCTAAGTAAATAATACATGCAAACATAACAGTTAAGGCACGGCATATTAAAGATAAAGACTTGAATTAAACAAACAACAATCCCTAATACTAATTATGTTCGGTGGCATCATATGAAATTAAGCAGCCTAGTATCAACATTTATAAGAACTCATCAAAATTATAAAAACAATTATCATCACCATTACTGAGTAAATACAGTTGATCCCTAAATTTTATGTAGCTCAATGTTACATTGAAAAAAAAATAATAATAAAATAAATAAATTGAAGTATAAGTCACTTCTACACAAGATGATAAGAGATCTATTTATTCATTTCTATACATGAATGAAAAAAATTTCTTAAGTGAATTATTAATTTATATTATTATTCAATATATATGTACACATTTTATACATATAAAAAAAATCTGAAATTGAATACACAATTAGTGTATATTTAAAAAAAAAAATGTTTTAAAGTACAATGTATATATGTGGAAGTCAGTTCTAGAAGATACAATATAAAATACTGTTTTGAGAAAATTATCGTACATGCATTTTATGTAATACTTTATCACAGGAAAAATGAAATCATGCCTTCACATTTCTTCAGAAACTGAGAATTTTTAATTAACAGCATTAAGTACCTTTTGAAACTGACTTCCACATTTGTAAACAAAGCTGGAAAAAAAAAAAAAAAAATTAAAGGAACTTCGAACTAGATAAATAGATGGATGTTCAACTGTATTTAAATTTAAAAAAAGTAAATATAATAAATAATATTGTTAAGATGAAAGAATTTTATAAAATGAATCGCCAACAGATCAGATATTGGAATGTATTTTTTTTATTTAAATTTAAAAAAGTTATAAAATCTTTTATTAATTAGATTTTATAACTTTTTAAAATTTACTTTACCTAACAATGGAACATTAAAATAAATAAAACTGCATAGACTGCCATGTTTTGGGGCTTAAGATTTATAATATTGAACTTATGAAGCCCGTCTTAAGAGCCATCACATAACTTAATAAATTAAAATTAACACCCCACCCATTCGAATGGTATAGCTTCACAAGCTTGTTTTTAAAAAAACATTTTTATGGGGCATTTCTTAAATAACACTAATAAATAAAATCCTAACACTAATAAAATTGTTCTCTATACATAAACACTTATTTTTTTTCTTTTATTTTTATTTTCTTCAGAAAATTACAACTAGTTCTATTTTTTGTAAAGTCTTTATCCTGTTTCAAAAAATTATAAAATCTTTATATATTTACCTGGTATTTAATATATATATTTATTTATATATATGGTTCTTTGGGGAAGGGAGAAGGGAAATAAACAGGGAAATATATTTACAAGAAACATAGATACAGTTGTTTATAATGTTGGATTATCGAAATTGACTCCCCTTTCTATCAGGATGTCAGCGTACGATGATTCTTGTTCAAGCTCTACTACCTGGAATTTCTTCAGCATGAGAAGGGAATAAAACTTCTGGGCAGCCTGGAAATAAAAATTGATAGTATATTATAAATGGGATAAAGTTTAAGGTGAAAACAACAGATCACATTTTTAAAACTAAAAGTAGGTCTCACCAAACCATCTCAAAAATATAACTACAAAAGGAATACTTTTATATTTTTATGATGTTAACTTTTTGAAGCTATAATTGAAATATTGCTCTCTATAAATGGTATTGAGAATATTTCCTGAAAATACACCCCAGATTTTAAAAAATTGAGTTTAATTAATCAGAAATATATGATATTTTTTAATAAAATAAATATGAACACAGAATTAAAATCATTTTCTAAATCATAAATATCGAGGTACCTTAGCGAAAATTGAATCAAACCTCACTGAACACTGTATTAGTTAAAAAAAAAAAAAAAAAAACAGGATGAGGGAGACTTAGGAATAAAGTTAATTATTAAAGTAAGTAAAAACACGTATTAAACTACAACATTTATACTGCTTAGACCAAAGAACTATTATCAAGTTATAAAATCATATAAATTTAAGCAGCAATGGAATTTAAGTGATAAAGAACATAAATAAGGTTGAGATTGCATTTTTTAAATACTAAAGAAGGTTTACTCTATTCCAGAGATCTCCAAACTAGGGGTTCTGAAAGCAACTCTAATCCGGCCCACCAAAATTTTTTTTATTTACAGGGTAAAATTTTAAAAACTATTTAAAAAATATAAGATTTAGTAAACCACTCAAAACATGAGCTCAATTGCCATTTATAGAACAAGTTTGTTCTATAAATAAATCATCTTTTTTATCACAAGGCATAGCCCGCAGGACTTAGTGGAAGCCTGAATGTGACCAGCTGGCCAAAAGTTTGGAGACCTCTGCTCTATCCAATTAGATTTATTGTATAATAGTTTAAGATATTATCATTTTAAAGACAATGAGATAACGGAAAAAATATATTATAATAAAGAAATGCCAAATTATCCATTGTCAGTCATATTCTTGTTATTTTATGGCTAGTTTATTTTATTTTTTTATGAAATACAATAAAATACATTTTAAACTAACGATTTTTTTTCTAAAATAAAACCAAAAAATATTTCTTGAATGGGAGTTCTGAAGCTGAAAAAACTTTTCAAACTAAAAAGCATGTAAGATATAGGTATGAACTAGGCGCTGGCAGGCTGTAATGAACCTCCATCCCCAACACTGATATGCCAATGTTAGGCATTAGGCACAGATTAAGTTCTACATAGGAACCACAAGGGTGTTTCATCTAACAATTGCTGGTAGACCACATACTGTCTACTGGTTTGTTCTCCCTTGCATCAAAGGGATGGCTGGTCTTTTGAAATAACAGAGATCAAACCTTTAAAATTTCTAATGTTAGAAATTTAGAGTAGGGTCCTCTATTATTCTCGACGTGTGTGCTCTTATCAAAACAGAAAAAATAAAAATAGCAATTTACATTGATATTTGTTTTTTCCTGTTGGCATTACAGACCATGTAGATCTTTTGCAGGCCTTAAAAAGCCTGCTCCATCTCTGCCTGTCTTGGGCTATTTCTTTCCATTTATCTGCATGCAGCTGTATTGCTTCTTTGTTGATATTATCTATCCATCTGCCTTTTTATTTAGGCACTCCTTCCAAATGGATTGGTACGAGCATGCCCTGCCCATCTTAAGCTCCGTGCCTTCATATCATGGGATATTGATTGACCAGTATCTGTAAGCAGTCCTTAATTGGCATTTCTTTCTCATGTATTAGTACTCAGATCTCAGATCGCTCCGGTTACGGAGATTCCCTTATGGAGAATTTTACTCTCGAATCTTTCAATACTTTTTTCTAGGGTGCTGGTTAGTGTCCAGGTCACAGCCATATATTAGAACTGGCTTTATCATAGCATTGCACACCTTTAATTTGAGATTTTTCGGTATTTCAATACATTTGAAAGGGAGAAGAAAGCTGTTAGCATTGATAATTATGATTAGCTAATATTTTTTTTTAAATTATAAGCAACTATTTCTCAATTAATTACCATAATGAAAAATTACTTAAGGGGCCAAAATTACTCTATGGTTTAAATATATTACGTTAAAATTATAATAATCAAATATAGACTTTAAATGAACTATATCTGATGAGAGTTGGTAAAGAAATCAATCCACAAACCACAATGAATAGCTCAAAATGATAAAAAATGCAAATTTTTTATCATTGAGAAATCTTTGGAATAGAGAGGGCAAGGGAAAAAAAAAAATCAAATTAAATGTTACCTGTTTTCTATTGTTCCGAACAACTAGAGTAGAAAAGAATATATTCTGCTCATCAGCGAACTTCGTCCTCACAAGGTTGTACATGTGAGCTGCTCTCTTATTCAGGACTCGTTCTTCAAACTGCTCAAATGTCTCATCATTCGCTTGTTCTTCAGGCTATAAAAAATAAATAATTTAATATGATATAACAATGTTACTTATCCCCTTTATCCACAAGACCCTTTAATTATCATTAGTAGCATTATCATTAAGCTCGAAGATAAAAATTACTGCTGGGTAAACTTATCAAGCTTAACAAAATCTATAAGCTAGATTTCAATATTTTTATTTTTTTAAGAATAAAAAGCAAGCTAGTGATGCTTACCGGGCCGACTGAGACAGGGAAATCATAATCATCGTTCCAAGGTGTTGGAGCACCCTTTTCAGAGAGGGCACCAGGTGTCGTTGGGGGAGGAGCTCCTTCTTCATAACCCATGTTAGCCATCAAGCCTTCGCCGCCTTCTTCATATCCCATGTTATGGAGGGGTGTCTGGCCGGGGCGTAATGATTCTTCTAATAAGCTCATCTGTAAATGAAGTAAGAAATAGTTACAGAAACCAAACGCTGTTCATAAATATCTAATGTATAAGTCTATTTTATGATTACAAATCCATCAACGAAATGAAGAATAAACAAGTAGCTGTGATTAAAATAATTTGTATTAAAAAAATGTTCATTTGAACGAATAAGTATATGCATCTAAACTGACCTGCTCTGGCGGAAGGTGAGGAAGTGATGAATCTATGCTAAAAGGTGTCATGTTGGGTGCTTCATGCTGCTGGTCCAAAGGAGGTCCAACAGACAGAGGAGGTACTGACATAGGATCCAACCCATCGATGGGTGCCACTGACATCGGGGCAACTGAGAGAGGTGCCACTGAAAGGGGGGCGACTGAGAGTGGTGCTGTATCCATGTCAACAGGGGCAGGAGTGGGAGGTGCTGGTGTAGCTGGATGAATTGGAGTCTGAGGTGTTGGTGGTGGCGCCACCTTCCTCGCCTGCTCATCAACTTCATGGTGCTAAACAATATAAATAATATTAAGTCATAATTAATATATATATATATATATATATATATATATATATATATATATATATATATATATATATATATATATATGGAAATTGTGCAATTATTTGAAACATTGTCATCCTTACTGGTTCCTCAATCATTTCTTGATTCTTTCGTTTGCGTCCTCTCCTTGGTGGTGGTACGATTTCTTCAGGAACTTGATCTAGGTGCATGGCATCCTTTTCACTATCAAGACCATCATCATTAGGAGCTGCACGGGAAGTCAAATGTCGTTGGTAAATCTAGAATTAAAAATTGTCAAATCATTAAATGAACTTAAAACAACTGATGAATTACCATTTTTACTAAAACTGGACTATATAAAATATAAACAGTTTAATAGCTAATAAACAACAATTAATAACTACATAAAATATATTTTTTTCTTTATGGATCTATAACAATACTAACAACCTTGGTCCAGGAACTATAAAATGTAAAGTTATAAAAGCATACTCGAAGAAATGCTATGGAACAATTAAAAGTATAATAAATAGAACAATTTTCTTGAAAGTCACTAAGTGTTGACATAATCCAATGAGAGAGAAAGACTAACTACAGTAATCCCTCAATATCATGAAATGTCAGATAATAAAACCGATTTATTAGTCCTGCTAAACACATTTGGTGGCATATTTTTTAAGAAATTCTCAGTTAACAAATTTAAAACTGAAAGAAGGTAGACCCTGCTATTGCTTCTGGATTGTCGAGCATTTTCATAAACCATATCATGAAATTGCAAATGTATAGACAAATAAATGTATGGATCAAAGCAGAAAGGCGTAAGACTCAAAACAAAAAAGTTAAGATGTTTGTGAAAAGGATTTGTAAGCGATAGTTTTTTTATCTTAAACTAGATAGACAGAAAATCCATTTGGAAATTTATCAACTTTTGTTCCATATGCACCTTGAATGTAACTAAAATAGAACTACAGCTTGTAAATCCTTTTCAATAAAAATTTTAATTTCATTTTGGCGCTTACACCTTTCTGCTTTGAAACCATTAACATGCGTGTGGAGCAACTTTTATTTAACTACGTTTCACATTAATGAATTAAGTCACAATAAGTAGATAAATCCAAAAAAACAACATAACCTAATGGGTCTAAAAAAAATATTAGCTCAACTTTTTTTTTTTTAAATAAGATACCATAAACAACACTTACTTTGAATAAACATCTAGCAGAAATATTTCTGCCAGGTAGGGCAAAGAGTTTTTCAACGCCTCCAGTTTCTTTCCAATGCATCAGCCTCTTAGTTGGTGGTGCAAGATCAAGGGAAGTAACAATATCACTTGTGTCACTCAATTGAGCCTTCATTTCTTCACCAGAGATATTTTTAACTTCATCAACAATTAGTTTCCTTTTCCTCTTTGTTTTTGTGGAACCTAAATAAGAGAATATGAACATTAATAAATTTAGGATAAGATGGTTGGGTCAGGTTCAAAAATAAATAAAAAAGAATAAGTTTTATAACATCACTCCATCATCTTTAAAATTTTAATATGCAAACATTAATAATTTTTCAAGGTCATGCAACAATTTATAAACGTACATATATACACTACACAAATTAGATTTTAACCAATCTTAACTTCTAAATGAACACTGATTATTTAACAAGAGAATTTAGTAGAAGAGTATACCAATACATAAGAAATGTATGAGTATTCTATTTGTATTAAAACTAAAATTTTTGATTTCACCAAAGATTGGAATTAAGCAGTTTCGATTTTTTTAGATACCTACAACAGAACAATAATTTGACATTATCTTAATCTTGAAAGGCTAAATTCACATTATGAGAAAAGGTTTTCTCAACTTTGATCGAGATAAAATAAAAATGATGGTTATAAAAACTATAATAACAATTTGTGAAAGTTTACATAACTAATTATGATCATTAGAATTAACAACCTACCTCTGAGAGCAGAAGCATCTACTGGTCCTAAGGCAAACGACTCCTCCTCATTGTGGAGAAGAACTGTCTGATCTGAAGTAGGAGGTGGAGGTAATACAGGCTCGACCTCAGGCACAGGTGGAGGAGCCATTTCAACTGGCGGTGGAATAGGAGTTGCAGGCCGTGAGCCACCATCAGAACTGTAATAATTCATAAATATTTCAACTGTTAAGGTTATTCTTAAATAAAAACAATAATAATAAAAGATTAAGTGAACGCAAAGTTCAATGCTGACACCACTAGCTGTCCACATACCTCTCTCGACTGGTCGACGTCCAAACCTAATCCCGCCAGAATAGACATAAGGCTTTAACTCAACGCTTCCCAACTTCCTACTGGTCTAACCATTGGACATTTACCATTCGGTACAGTGCTTATTAACCATTTAGAGATTTTTTTGTTACTAAAAAATATCCGCATATATGTTACATCTAATTCCACATTTGTTGTCTGATAATTTTCTCGACGTATTCTCTGATTCGACTAGTTAGAATTAAAGTGAATATTTTAAAAAATACCGGAAGGAGTTAGATTCCTCATTAGTTATTACTATCCGTCCTCGGACCCTTTTTCACTGCACAGTTTAGCAATACTGAAGTCTAGCATTTTTTAATTAATTTAAACAATAACCCAACTATCAAATATATATATATATATATATATATATATATATATATATATATATACAGCACATATAGTCAGGAATTTTAATTTTCATTAGCTAGTTATAACATATACCCTACCCTTCCTAAATAGAAACTATGAAAACAACAAGCAAATTACTTCATTAAAAAATTAAACTGTTGACAATAATGTAAAACGATGAGTGACAGTGGAGTAGAGACAATGCACAGCAGAGTAACCACATATGATCCATCAACAGTGCATCCTTACCCAAAAAGCCCAAATCAAATTCTTTAGGCTGTTTAACAATGCCTTAAAGAAATACCAAAATATTTCCACATGGCTGAGATAAAAAGCTCATTCTTTGAAGTTAAAATTCTCTTGAAATTATATTAATTTAAACTGCTACATTTCTTTGATTATAAAAGATTTTCAGAAGGTGTTAACACCACAGCGTTAATTTATGTTATTTTTTTTATTCTCACCAATAATTTGGTTGTTATTTTGGTTCGTCCCATAAAATGAAACCAATTAATAAATATATATATATATATATATATATTCTTATGCCCATAGCTTATTTTGTTTATATTCAATAGGTCAATAATTTATACTTAAATCCTAATCCTACGGCCGTAGAACTGACAATAGACAGTCTGACTCCGTCCGTTACTGAGCTGAGTACTGTCAACTTCTACACTGCCCACTGCAGTTCTACTGTGAAGAGACACACGTACTTTTCTTGTTGTGGTCGCTGATGCCCATTTGCAGTTTTTTAATTATATGAGCGCTCATATTGAATCTACTTTTAGTTGCTGAAGAAGGATTGGAGTGCCAACAGTTCGTCCATATCTACTACCGTCACCTGGTTGCGACCACGTAAAGTTGTTCAATTTTTATTGTTTTGTTTTTCGTTTAGTTTTGTATAATTTTTACTTTAGGGTTGATATATATTTGTTAATTTTTCCATTATTGATTGTAATTTTGGACCATTTATATATAATTTCTTTATTTAATTTCCATAATCAAACATCTAAATATTTTGAGAAGGAGTTAGTCGGGGGTGCGGTCAGATAAATACTAAATTAAAATATAGTTATTATTTTATTCTCAACATGTTTTGTATCTTTTGTAGCTCTGAAGACGACCTGCAAAGTGGGTCGAAACGTCGGCAAAATTAAAATAAAATAATTACTATATTTTAATTTAGTATTTATCTGACCGCACCCCCGACGACTAACTCCTTCTCATATTATATCAACGGTCAACCATCTCTACATTATTCTAAATATTTTATTAGATATTTCATAATTGCCTTTATTAGCATTGTATTCAGATTATCGTTATTTTTTATTTCAGAAGTTATTATTTTATTTTATCTATTGATACTTGAGTAAAATTGATTTCATTTTATTTTTTATGTTTTCATTATTAGTAGGTGTAAATGTTTCAAAATACAGTCCACTTTCTTTTAAATTACAATAGACTTAATTTGAATAATAGTTAGGCTTCATTCGAAGTAGATTTAAACTAAGAGGGAGCTTAACAGAAGGGATTAAAAACAAACTGTACTAACAAAGAATTTAAGTTATTGCGATTCGAGTTATCAAGAGTTGATACCAATTACTTCTGGTTGAAAAAAAACAAAAAAACAATATAAGATCAAATTTATTTAAATACTTAGGATTAACAACATGTTTATTTACCTTGGGGCCGCAGGGCTGGGGGCAGCAAATCTATCATCGTCATCATCATCTGATTGAGGTTCAGGAATGGGAACGGGCTGTTCAGAAGCAGCCGATGGCTGGTCGTCTGATGGAACCTGCATTGGTGCATCATCAAACAGTCCTCCTTCAAATAGGCCACCTCCTACAATTGTTAAAAGTAAAAAACTAAAATGATTTTTAAAGTCTTTTCAAAACAATCTAATGTAATAAAATTCGTATAAGTTTAAAAAATCAATATTAGAAAGTTTAATTATAAAGGTGCGTTAATCTAATCAAAGTATAGTACTCTAAAATATAATAAGATGACTGACTAACATTATTTGTCAGTTTAACAGGACAAATATATGAATAATATACTTAATTTTTTTTTTTATTGGGCTCGATGCAAGGAAAAAGATACACTAGTAGATTGATTTCTCAAAAAATACCAAAATTTATTTTACATATTATCAAAATATTTTAATTATCTTAAAGACGAAGCAGATATTATGTAATTAGGTAATTTTTTTTTGCTTAGATGAAATAAAACATGAATAAAGAATTATAGATACTACAAAATAGAGATTTGACTTTTCTGATCAAAGTACTGACATCTCCCAGACCTAATCGCACCAAGTTTTTTTTTTTAAAGGAATTAAGAGGAAATTAAAAGCATTGTAGAATGGATTATAAATTTTTAGTTTTTCTTCATACCTTCATCCACACCTGTCATAAGCTTGAATATAAGCAGACAAAATTTTAAATTCAAATATTACTGTAATTTATTAATAAACTTGTAATGAATTATTAAAACAAAAAGTTAACAAAACACTTCAATTTTTTTTTAGACTACATGAGACAGTTAACCGAACTTTATTTACATTAAAAATTTTATATACTGTTTCTGGTTTATGTGATTTGATCAAATAAATCATTACACTGTATGCTTATTTTGCTTGCAAATAATATTAATATCACACTAAATTACAAAAATAGCTAATGATAACTACCTTATTACCTTATCGAATTAAAAAATAAAATAAAATCAGTTTCTACCTGACAGGGAAAGTTATGGAAAAACTTCTATATCAGGGTAAAGGACTGCTTGAGGAAGGAACATAGGTTGGTTAGTTATCCTTGAGGAAGGATGATAGCTGGGATATTTATTGGGATAATTGATATAAAATCTGAAAATTAAATAAAATATTAAATTAATAAACAAAATTGTGAGATCAAAGTTGCTTAAAATATGTAGAAGTAGAGGTAAGATCACCATAGGACTAATGTTTGAAGAGTATGGTTTGTTATTTTCAAATATCTGCTTTGCAAGAATATGCTTTTCTCTCTTTGCTCTATCAGACAATGCCAGAAAACTACATATCAGACAGGCTAGAAAACAATACTGTTCAAGGTACTGGAACGTATAATGTTACAGCCTTGTTAACGCATTGTAGTCCGGTGTTTGGTGGAAGTGCAATAATGACTGGAGCGGGATTTAATACAAAGTATTGTTATTATTTTGATCTTACCAACAAGCTATCCAATCTATTGTTACGAGTATTTTGGTATTTTTTATTAATATTATGAATGAGGAGATATGGCAACAAACATTGATAACACATATAGCTTTATTCATCTCATCATTAATTGGCACAACAACCCATCATTAGGTCCTGGTCTCTTCAAGTAACTTTCACCAATTCATTTAATCAAATGCAGCTGTTTTCCAGCTTTGGACACCGAACACTAGAATCTTATTTTACACCATCAACCCATAGCGATTCGGGATAGCCTATATGTCAAGATTTATGGAGTTCTTCATAAAGAAGTTTCATTTGAATCTCATAGGCAACCATTCAGGCCACATGGCCCTTCAAAGCCTGGCAAGTTTAATCATTTTAATAACACTCGGTCCCTTCTTAGTAGACCGTAAATACGTTATTAATAAAGGATATTCCTTTCAAATATACATAGTTCTCGTTCATCACTTTTACAAAAGGAATATTTGTATGTCTGCTGACCACAATGCATTAACTAACATTAGTAATATTAATGATGTATAAATGATGAAAGTTAAGCTAAACTACTAACAAAGACAGTTTTTCAATAACAAAAAAAAAAAAAATTTGTTCCACTGCTATCCATGAAGGGTAGTGGGTTGAAAACTTTGTTAGGAAGTCTGTTTCAAAACCAACGGTTGAGATGATCGGGCCACGATCTTGATTAACCTGCCAGGTTTTTCTCCTTAATTATTTAATTAAAAATAACCACTTTATAGAGGCTGGGTAACCCCAGGAGGATCTCCCAATCCCAAGGCCAATCCACAGCTGAAGAAAAATTAGTTGATATCAGCTGGATTCGAACCCGGGACCTTGAGCTTAGGACCTCAGTAACTAACTCACTGAGCTACTCAACTGCCTCCAATAAGTCCAATTGAAACTTGTAAATTTAAAGTATGAAATATATCTCACCCATTAGATCATGAGCTAAATTTCCACCAAAACCATCATCTCTTATGGGAGCATCAATATCCAGAGGTGGTCTTTCAAGTTGGGCACTTGAGGTTGAAGGCTGGGGTTCCTTTTCCTTTTCCGGTGGATCAAGCCCATCTCCCCCGAAGAGTAAATTAGCCTGTAAAAAATAAATAAATAAATAGTATGCATTATATTTATAAAGAATAATAAATAAAACACCCAAAAGAATTGTTATGATATGATGTAACTAGATAAATCTCATCTTGGGGTTAGAGTGTTTAGTGTTTTTAATAAGATACTATCAGGAGTTAAAAGATATCTCTAAGATAAAGGTAAGCAGCAAAATGTTTAACATAAATTAACCAAACTTTAAAGAAAAAATAAACACAATATACTAGTCACCGAAACAAAAAAAGAAGACATAGAAAAAATATTATTGCAGCATCCTAAAGCATTGCCAATATCAATTTCATAAAACTGTTCCCAGTAGTTATATCAATATTAATTATAAACTATTGAGCAAAAGATGGAAATTTTTATTAGACAAACAATTGATTTTTTTCTAAAGGCCCTGCCATTCATCTCTGATATTAGTCAACTGTTTGAATCTCAAGTCTTCATAGACCCTGATACAAAATAGAAGACTAACATCTTTCATTTTATTTACTAATATATTTTGAATAACTTCGATATAATTAAAAAGAAACGAGGGGCAATCTAATCCAAGGAGCTTAAGCTGGAAGGAACCAAGAAAAACAACTAATACATTTCAGAGCACATTCCTGGAGAAGATGAGTGTTAAACACTACAATATCCACAGGATGGCTACCAAACAGTTAAAATAAAATTCCCTGACTTTTTCCTACTTAATAATCATTTTCCCTGATCAATACATATGTCTGTGGACATAAATATTAAAAATGTATAATTTATAACTTGATTTATTAATTACACATGAAAGGAAATTGACTATAAAATAATTTGAGTAAAAAAAACAACAACAGTATTTTAAATAACAAATATAATGTTTTAGAGGAAGTATTTTTTAAGCTTGATAAGGATTTTTTTATTTTAGAAAACTAAACATTTAATAATTTATTTTTATCACTTTCATAAACTGAAAGGAAAGTAAAAGTTGATGCTTGACATATAGAGCTCTAATTTAATCTATATATATAAAAATGAATGTATGTCTGTCTGTCCTCAGTGCATTACTAAACCATTCAACCGATCGCCATGAAACTTTGGGAGGTTGTTCCCTACATTCCTGGGAAGGTTTCTGATATAGTACTTCTGTCTTACAATAATTTTATATATGTAAAAAAAATAAAAATGTAAATGTTTTTCTGTTCAAAGCCGCAAAAAATGTGTCGCTGTAAACTGTAGTGCCGAAACCGCTTTATCGATTTAAACGAAACTTGGCTAAAGTCTTCCCCTTGAAACTCTTTTAATTTATGTGTATAACATACTTTCCCGAAAACAAGCTGAAAAATGTTACGATGAATTCAATATTTTATTTGACGATAACTAAAAAAGCACACAATTTTTGACTAATAATACCCACATTTATTTGAAAGATTCCTGATTTGCCGACAAAATAAAAAAGATGTCATCGAAATCGGACGGTTCGTTGCAGAGTTATTGAGTTTTAAACATTTACTGATTCCTGTTCAGAAAAGGCCATTTCCTTTTGCTTTCCCACTACCGAACGTCGGCAAGCATTTTTTTTTATTTTTATTTTTTTATTGATTAATCAAAAATTTTATAATTACTACAGTAATTGAAATTATCATTTGAAGAATTTATATGATTCTCCTTATGTAGGTCAATACTATTATACGTTTTTAAAATTAATTTTATAATTTAGTTTTATAAGTTCAACTCAGACTGGTTCTGATGATTATGAATGACGGCGTATTTACTCAGATGATTGTGAATGTTCAAATTGAATCATGAGAAAAAAAATCATTAGAATTAGTTTCAATTGAAGCCATTTTACAGATAAATTTGTTTCCCAATTTTTTAAAAATGACAGATGCCCTTTGCTACTAATCTACTCATATGTGCTTTCTATTTTCTTTATTTTTCATTTTGCCAGGCTAAGCCACAGCAGCGCGTGGCCGGGTAAAGCTAGTCCATTATAAAATAAAGTGAGCTACAGGGGATTCTAATATTAATTTAGTTTCTCAATACTAATTTAGGTTCTTTAATACAATAAACAGCATAATAATTATCCATATTTCACCAACTATGCAATTTCTGGTTAAGAAATACTCTTTTAAGGAGCACTAGGGACCACCAGAAGCATCAGGGGTCGAACGAACGAGTGCTTGCCAGCCAGATCGCGATGTGCACATTACAAATAGTAAATAGTATTGGTATGTTTTTCTTTTTAAAAAAATTCTGTTTTAAGCACATTTTGTTTGAATTTCATTCATTACCCTTGTTTGCTATCAATATAACATTTATATATAATGAAGTCTGCCCCATAAACAATATCCACTGTGTGATATATCGATTATACCAATTAGTGATTGAGTTGTATTAACCTTACAGTGTTATCTTTTATAATGAATAAAATAGTTATGTTCACTAATATTGTTGTTTTATGCTTTAGTATTCCAAGTACTTAACATTTGGCAACGAGGATACAAGTAATGAAGAAAGGTACTACGTGGGTGTATGAATTAAAGAAACAAGACTTGATTTTAAAACTAAAAGAATTAGGTTTGGTTTTTGATGAGGCTGATTCTGTAGATAGGTTAAGGCAAATTTTAGTGCAGGAATTGAGAAGTGAAAATAAAGAAGAAAGCAAGGAAATTAGTGAAAAGGTAACCCAAGTTAAGACAAAGAATAAAGGAGCAAGCTACAGGATGGAGACCTGTAAAATTGAATTTCGTTTACATGAGGATGACTGGGACACTTTTATTGAAAGGTTAGAACTTTATTTCCTTGCACATGATATTGAAGAAAGTAAGTATGTACCAGAACTGCTTATAAAGGTGAGTGCAGAAACCTACATTCTTATTAGAAATTTAGCAATACCAAAAAACCTAAAGGACCTTTCATTTAAAGAAATTGTTTCTTTAATGTCTAAGCACTTAAATCCTAAATCTTCGGAACTATTAGAAAGACATAAATTTAACAATATATATCAATTAGCGTCAGAAACAATAAATGATTTTGTAGCCCGTTTGAAAAGAGCATCTATGCACTGTAACTTTCCCGATGTTGAGATGTCACTAAGAGATCAGTTTGTTTGCGGTATAAAGAATCATGAGACACGAGTTGAATTATTCAGAAAAGAGAAGGTACCATTTTCAGATGCTTTGAAAATCGAAGAGACCAGGGAACTGGCAATGGAAAGTGCTTCTAACACCGCAGGAACTAGCAACTCATCGGATAACCTGTGCTCGCAGGTAAACTATAACAGAGGAAATACAGACAGTAACAAATCACCTAAAGGTAGAAGTCAAGGGCGGCTTAGTTATGGAAAGATGCATTGTAAGGAAGACTTAATTAAAAAATTTAATTCCCCTCCATCATTATTTAATAGCAATAAAAATAATTTTAGTTGCTTTTCTTGCGGTGAGATTAATAGTCACTATGCCAGAGAATGTATCCACAGATTTAAAGTGTGTAACTTTTGTAATGCCAGGGGCATTTGGAAAAAATGTGTATAAAAAAACGGAACAAAAGAGTAAATTATTTAGAAGAGGGCATAAAAACAGAAGACGATAGTTATAATGAACAAGATTTTTTTAACTTAGAACAAATTCTTTTAGGGGACATTGAATTATCGAATGCGGATTCGATGAATGTGCAGTCCAAGGCTGAACCGTTGGTCATTGATTTGTCAATAAACGGAGTTAAAATTACATTGCAAGTAGACACCGGATCGTATGTAACAGTGATATCAAAAGAGACGAAAGATCGATATTTTTCACATACAGCAATGATCGAACCTGACCTAACCTTAACGACATATGGTAAAAACGATTTGAAACCTATAGGGATGCTAACAAATTTGAAAGTATCATTTAATGATAAGGAAGTAAATGATGTAAAATGCTATGTTTTACCAGGGAGAGGTCCCTCTTTGTTGGGAAGAAGCTGGCTTAACAAACTTGGTCTGTGGCCATTCAAACTAGAATTAAATTATTGCAATTCAGAGGGTACAAGTGAGAAAGTAATGGCTAAGATTAAGTCATTATTCCCGAAATTATTTAGTTAGTTAAATTAATATTTAAAAAAGACACAGTGCCTGTACAATTAAAACCACATAGAGTGCCTTTTGCACTTAAAGACAAGATAAAAAGATTAATTTCCGTAGGTAATCTAGAGCCTGTGACGGTTAGTAGTTGGGCGACACCTATAGTGCCTGTCCTAAAATCCAATGGGGAAGTTAGAGTGTGTGGTAACTTTAAGTTAACCGTCAATCGACATTTAATTATCAAGCGTCAACCTGTGCCAAGTAAAGAAGAGATTTTTAGTAAATTACAAGTAGGTAGTAAATGGTCCCAGATTGATTTAGCACATGCATTTATGCAATTCAGAGTTGATGAAAGTTCTAAAGAAGCACTAACGATTACTACAGATGAAGGTTTATTTCAATATACCAAACTACCGGAGGGCGTGGCGTCCAGCCCTGGAGAATGTCAGGAAATTTTAATGGAAATACTTAAGGGAATTCCTTGCACTGAAGTTTACATTGATAATATTTATTGTACAGGTAGAACAGATGAAGAGCACATTTCTATCATAACGGAAATATTTAGGCGCTTAAATGATGCAGGCTTAAAAGTAAATGAAAGAAAGTGTGAATTTTTAAAAAGTAAGTTGGAGATTTTAGGATTTGTTCTGGATAAACAAGGAATTCACCCAGCAGAAAGTAAGGTTATTGCAGTCACGGGTGCTCCAACGCCTAAAGATTGCAAACAGTTAAGGAGTTTTCTTGGATTAGTAAATTATTATGAATCATTTCTGAAGCACAGAGCTGATGATAAACTGAGTTGTCTTTATGATCTGCTGAAGTCAGAAAGGTGGTATTGGTCCGAAGAATGTGAGGAAAGCTTCAAATGGATCAAGAATCAAATCGTGTCAGATAAGGTATTGACATTGTTTGATCCAAATGAACAATTAGTCCTGTCATGCGATGCCAGTCAATACGGACTGTCAGCGATCCTTTCTCATAAATTCAAGAATGGAGAGGAAAAACCCATAGCATTTGTATCGATAGTAATTCCGGTAACTGAGAGGCAAAGGGCAATCATTGATAAAGAAGCTGCTGCCATCATCTTTGGCTTCAAGAAATTTTACCAGTATGTCTATGGAGCTCACATTCTCAGAACAGACCATGAACCTTTGAAATACATTTTTGGAAATTACAAAAATCTATCTGTCACAATTCAAAATAGATTACAAAGATGGGCTTATTATCTTTCAGGATTCACTTACAGTATAGAAGTCGTAAGGTCTTCAGGAAACGGGAACTGCGATGCCTTGTCAAGATTGCCTTTGAATGACCACACTCCGGTATTAGATACAGAATTTACAGCTCTTAACTATGTGGAAGAAGGGATGCCTTTGTTGAATTACAAACAAGTGGTCACTGAATCAGTGAAAGATAGAATATTAAGCAAGGTGATAAATTGGGTAGCCGCGGGGTGGCCAACTGAAAATAAGAATTTATCTGAGATCGAAAAGAAGTTTTTCTCAAAGAAACTAGAATTATCGCTGGATAAAGGATGTCTCAAGTTAAGAAATACTCTTTTAAGGAGCACTAGGGACCACCAGAAGCATCAGGGGTCGAACGAACGAGTGCTTGCCAGCCAGATCGCGATGTGCACATTACAAATAGTAAATAGTATTGGTATGTTTTTCTTTTTAAAAAAATACTGTTTTAAGCACATTTTGTTTGAATTTCATTCATTACCCTTGTTTGCTATCAATATAACATTTATATATAATGAAGTTTGCCCCATAAACAATATCCACTGTATATTTATTTTCAATTTAAAAAAAACAACACAGAGACGTACTAAACAAAGTTCCTGACTTTAACAATTTTTCCCTGACTTCTCCCTGAATTTCTCATTTTAAAAATTCCCTGACTTTTCCCATTTTTCCAGATCGATCACCACCCTGATCCAGCATGTCCAATAATCCAGTGCTCTGAGGAGGTTGACAGGGCATCGATTTTCACTATTTCACATGTCTGACGTGGAAGATGGCACTAGACTATACTATAAACAACTAGTTCTCTAGATTTGGTCATTTCATGTGTAATCAGTCACAAGTGATTGTTATGGAAGTTAGTTAGCATGTAGTATGATGTTGCCAAGACGAAAAACATGTCACATTAACGTTACATGAAAAGTATAAAATTTTAAAACATTTAAAAAGTATGGAGTATGATACTGGCCAGGAAACAAAAAAAAAAAAAAACCACATATAGAAAAAAAATTAAATCAATTATTTCTATCAAAACTTAAAGAGTTAAATCATAAGTAAAAGATGGAATTTATTCTTGGTTCAAGTAAGAAAATAACTGGTAAAAGCCTATTTTAAGCAAAATTCTTATGGAAAAGGCGATTATGTTTATATATTACATTATAGAAAAGAAAGAATTTTGTGAAAATAACAGTTCACTAAGACTTTTAGATAATCGAAAAAAAAAAAATCATAAAATTTTTTTTCATTGCTACGATTTTAACTTAAATTTCAAGTTTATAACCATACATTCTTTAAGATTTACACAAAATACATTAAAGTATTGCTATAACTATTTCTTTCATATTAAAATAGATTTTTATTAATAAAAAAATTGAATCAACAGTTAACAAAACAAAATTTAAGCCACAAACCTGATCGAGGGAGTCCAGTCTGGAAGCATGCCGCAGAATATCTGCATGACCGTCCGAGCCAAAGCCCATATCCCCAAATCCTTCCTCTTGTTCAACAAGTGAACTCATGTTTCCATAGTCTTCACGCATAGTTATCTCTTCCGCTCTTGACTGATTAAGACTAAATTGGGCTTCGATGTCAACATCACTACAAAAATAACTTTTATGCTTTTTGAAATATACTCTTCAAAAAAGTGGAAAAAAATCAAAACAATAATTTAAAAAAATATGAGTAAACTGTCAACAATGCTATATTATACTAAATAAACATTAAAAAAGTGACCAACAGTAGTATTAATTTTGTTTTGTTTAAAATTCAACCAATAACTGGAGTAGAATATAAGTTTTCTTAAATAGTTAAATACATTTTTTTTTTGACAGATGATATATAAAGGTAACTGATAAATATGATGAAAATATTATATCTTAATGTAAGTCAAAATAATAAAACTATAATATGCAAATTTAAAAAAATAATTAAATAATGTTGCTGACCTATTTGTGAATCTAAATACTAATAAGATTTTGTATTTATTTAATTATTATACATTTTCATTGTAGCTTATTTTTATTTTTATTTAATATATAATAAAAAGTAAAAAAACCAACAACCAACATAAGATTCAAATGGATAAAAGAACTTATATAGCTAACATTCCCAATGATTTGATAATACAGAAAAGCTAAGAAAGATTACTGTCCCTGTTGTGGAAAATTCACTAAAGAAAGTAACAACTTCATTAATAAAAAAAAAAAGAAAGTAACAACTTCATTAATAAAAAAAAAGAAGAAAACTTTTACAGTCCAATGTAACTGATTAAAGTACGAATACAGAACAACTAAATTTAGGATTCCGGATGTCAGAAGCTCGTATATCTCTCTCTTTTTTTTCTCTGACAAATTTATATTTTCACATTTTTTTCGATTAATCCAAATAATTAAAAGTTCAAATATTTTTCTAATGGTAATACAAGTTCAAAGAAATAGTTTATATTTAAAGTAATGCTTTACTTCATACGATGTGCCAATCATGATTATATTCTTAGTTGTTTTCTTTTTATGAATTCTGTAATTTATTTTTATTATGAACAAAGGACGATCTAATTCTCCAGGAAATATAGTACTTTAAAATGGTGTGTATAAAATTTATGGTACTTTTTGACTAGCAGGACGGCACGAAACCTCACTTCTTATATAACGTCATGTCACATAACCTCCCTCTTCTAATCCCGCCAAACCTTTGAGTTATTACATTGTTTAGTTTTCAGTTATTCCCTTATTACGCTCACTTATTAAATTCTTTACTTTTGACCCGTTTGTGTTTATTTTTCAGTAATTTTAGTTTTTGTCCCGTTTGTGTTTATTTTTCATTTTTTTTTTAGTTTGTGGCCCCTTTGTGCTTATTTTTCATTTATTTTCGTCATATTATGGATCTTCTTAGAATATGGGATTTGTCATCTTCAGAAGATCAGGCAATTCAATATTTTCAAAATGTTGGGATACTCGCAGTCGTGAAATTGTGTGAACGAGGTCATCGAATGAAGTTAACCAGGAATGCCAAATGGAGAGGCTGTCGTAGGACTTGTGACACAAAACTTTCAATAAGGAAAGGAACATTGTTGAAGGGGTCGAGGATTTCGTTTTTAAGCTTTAAAATTGATTTATGGGTGGTTCCATAACTTAACAACGATATAATCCAAAATAAATAAGACAAAGTGAAAATAAATTGTACATATGTTGTTTATAGTGCTGATATTTTTTCTTTTCTATGTAAATATGTTCTTTAAATGTTTTTTTATTATTTCATTTTCATCTTTAATATCTACATATGTTCTTCAAGTGGTTTTTTATTATTTCATTTTGATGTTTTATATGTACATATCTCCTTAAAATGTTTTTTTATTATTTCATTAATATATGTTGTAAAATAAAAGTATTTTTTTTGTTATTATATTTGTTTTTATATCTGTTTACACTTTCAATAATACGAAGATAGGAAGTAGGAGAAGGCTTATTACTGCGTTATCGGAATTATCAGTGTTCAGGTAATAAACATTGGCAGATAGCAGTCAGTGCCGGCCTGCTAGTCAAAAAGTACCAAATTTACTTATTTATACTTCTTCCATCGGTGCGACAACCCATTACTGAGTCCTGGACCCCTCGAGCAGCTTCTGTCAGTTAGCAGCTACCCTCCAATTCCCAACTCCGAGCAGGGTCCTCAATTGGGTGCCGTAGATTTCTTCTTCTAAGAGTTTTCTTGGAATCTCGTGGGGTCCCATCCTGATAACATGGCCAGCCCATCGTAGCCTTCTCAGCCTGATATCTCAGGCTGATATATCTGTAGCTCAAAAACAAAAAGTCGTACGGAACTGGTATTACATATTTAAGATAGGTATATGACTCAGATGTTACAACTTTTTCCTTAGAATCGGCTAACCGGAAGTGCCACTTTATATCAGCGGTGAAACATATTTTACAATTTCTCAGAATTGGCTCTAACAATTATGATTAAACTCGGTGGGTCCTTGTATAATTAAGAGGTCTTTAATATCATTTAGGTCTTATCCCAATTGATGTCACAGGGATTAAATGCCAAATATTCATAAACGTCTTCCTCTATAGTACCTTTGATATGGTTTATTTAAAAAAAATTAACTCTCTTTTATTGACAGTAACTACAAAAAATTGTTAAATATGAAGTTCGAAAGAATATGATAATTGGAAACTGGAGAAAAAAAAGAAAAATGCTTACACAGGTTGAAAATGAATCTCCAGAAATAACAGTCAGAAGGTATACATATAATATATCGTTCGAAAGCTGAGAATTTTAGAAAAAATAATATCTAATAAATACAATTTTAGAAGGTAACGGAGAGTGGAAAAAAATATAAATAACAATCTCTGAAAACTAACATTATTTAACGTAAATCACATGTTTCCAAGGAAATTAAATGAAATTTTCTTACTAGAGCAAACTTAATTTTTTTTTCTTCTAAGTTTGAAAAAAAAAGCATTTAAAATCCATCAAATCAAGGCAATGGCATTGTTTACAATACTATTTCATTGTGCTTGTGTGAAAGAAGAAGTGAAATATAAAAATATTTGAGGAATATGTTTATTTTCAATACATTTTCTAATTTTAATGATTTGTAATCTGTAAGCTTTAACTCCGTTTAAAATGCACTTCAAAAATTTTATAATAGCCCAAATAATTTCTATTCAAAATAGAGTAATAAATAAAAGTTGTGTGTTGTGCGCACCAGATTTCTTTTTATAAATTTTAGACCTCCTTTTAATTTTATTATTTATTAATTTACTTTCCAACGATATATGATACTTATCTATTATTTCCAAAAATTAATTACCAACCTAAAAAAAAACATTATTCCTTTTTGTCAATCAATTATCAAATTTTTCCATAGTTTATATTTAGCCTTTTGTTATTACTACAAACAATGAGAGACAGTTAATTACTTAAAACAAAAAATTAAATATACTTTAGAGGAAGAAATTTTGAATATGTCATTTAAGCAACACCACCAGTTTTCTCCGGTCATCTCTGCTCTGTGCATCTCTTGCTACACCATCTGAACGTCTGAGAGTTTTGGTCTTCCCCTTCTTCTAATGCTATGGAGAAGTTCCGTCAGAACCGTCTTAGGGACTGCTTTGCCATCTTAGCCACATGTGGCCAGCCCATCTTAGTCTTCCAAGCTTCATTTTCCTAACGATATCTTTTTTTTTATCAAAATTTGAGTAAATTTCAATGTTCATCCATCTTCTTCAGCCTCCATCAATATGAATTCCTCCAAAAATTCTTCGAAGAGTTTTCCTCTTAAAGACTAGGAGGATCTTGTTCCATTTTCTTACTAATTGTCCATGTTTCTGATTCAAACAACAGATTAATGTTTTGCAAAGATGAAACTTGGTCGTCTTAAGGTACTATTTTGCTGACGCTGCCCACGACAGTGACTGCTATTTCATGCTGCCAGCCGCTGTTGCATAGCTATTTCGCTGAAACTGCTCACTGGGGTTGTTATAACCTGCCTATAACCTTTAAACATTTCGTTCTATCTTCAAAGATAAAAAAAATGGACTTATTATCTCTTACCACCACTTTTTTAGTCCTTTATATTTTTATTTTAATTCTTTTATTTATTTAATATCATTTGGGGTACTAGTTCACAACAGCTCCGCACGGATTACGCATGGTTCACAATCACTTCGATCACACTTGTTCCTGGAATCCCGAATGCGTTCGTGTTTCTCCGGAAGAGAACGAAGGCGGCCGATCTCTTGGGCCAGTTACTATTAACTTTCCCGCCATTTAAGTACTTTAACCTTAACCACGTTCAGTTATATAGCAGGAGCAGATTTACATTCGAAATTTAGGCTACACATCATGAAACCTGATTTGAGCTTGTACATATATTATAGATCTGTAAAAAAGAAATAGTAATACATAAAAATCTTTAATTATTGCATCTCTGGCTGCTATTTCATGATATTATTTTTGTTATAGATGATTTCCAATATTCATTATCTTGGAATTATTACATATTCTTCGTCAGTTGTTTCCCAAATACGTTAATTCTTTTCTCGAAAATAAATACTTTTTTTTGTACCATAGCCTACAATAATCCCTTTTTTCAGATTACCAAGAAAAATAACTGCGAATAACAATAATTACACATCATAATTACAAATCAGACAGTATATGCATACAAAGCGCCCTCCTCCACTAGAAAATAGCCCCTCGTATTAATAGAAATCTAAAAAAATACATAAACTAGATAGACGATTGCGCAATTCTAAAAAAGGCTTGCTAAAATAAATTATAAATTCAATTATTCCAACTTCTATTGAAAAACTCGAATAACAAAAAAAAAAGATAATAGATAACTTAAAATTATTTATTATCCAAATGATAAAAAAACTTTTATGCACAGTTATAAAAGATAATATTCAGTATATGCGTATTTACAGCCACTACATGTAAGCACTAGTCAATAAAAATGTTATTACTAAAAGCTTTTTTTTTAATGGGGCTTGAAGAAACTACTCAAACATTATTTTATGTATTTTTTTCTTTTTCTTTCAAAGTAATAACCATTATAATAAAAATTAATAATTAACTAATTAGTAAATACACAATTTTTTAATTAGGAAGTTCCATAAAGGGAATACGTTGTATTTTTTTCAAAAATGCATGAAAAGGGATTGTATTATGGGGCAATAGCTGACGTCATAAAAGACGACAACATTCGGCTGTTTTTGGGATTCCATGAACAAGTGTGATCGAAGTGATTGTGAACCAGGCGTAATCCGTGTGGAACTCTTGTGAACTAGTACCTCATTTGGATTTAGATATATTTGAATTTTTCTGTAAAATACTGTTGGTGGGATAAATAAATAAATAATCTTGTTACTTCAACCTTAACAATATTTCTTATAATTTTGACAGACTTAAAAGAAACAGGAAATAAAACGTATCAACGTGACTGTTATCATCAAAACAATGCTCTGATATAACATAACCAACAACCGCCAACAGCTCCACTGCTTCAGAAGCAGGTTAGATATGTCATACCTAGTCTGCCGAGCAGCGCCAGCAAAATAGGTTCCTTTCTATTCCACTAAAGCAGTGGTCAACCGCGAGCGGTCGCGGTCGTGGGCCGCGCCAGCAAAATATTATCTTTATGGAATAGAAAGGGAGAGATGAACATTTAAAATACAAATGTTTTATATTGACTTATATCGAAGTGGTCTTGGCCCACGTGCCGTTCAGGTGGAGCACTTGTGAACAATCACAAAGAAGTATAAACACTGTTTTGAAGGTATTTATATATTTGAATAAGGGTACTTGTTTACACAAGTTCCACCAGGATTAGGCATGGTTCACAATCACTTTGGTCACACTTGTTCATAAAACACTGAAAACAGTTGAATTTTATAAAGTAAGCTATTGTTCTAACCATACATTTCCCTTAGATGCAATTTTGATAAGTCCATGTATTACCTTCATAGAACTTCCTTATTAACAATTTATTTATTAAAATTATTTATTTACAAATTTATGAATTAATAATATTTATAACAGTAATTACTCTGGAAGAAAAATAAAGAAAATATATAGAATGATGTTTGAATTATCTAATGATATAGAGCGGGTAAGTCCTGTCTATAAAAGAATGGTTTTAAGAATACAATTTTTATTGACATGGGCTTACATAAAGGAGCTGTTAATATTTATATTATCTTTTAAAACTGTATATAAAAGATTTTGTATTATATCATTTATATAATAAATGTAATTTTTATTGAATGAATTAACTGCTAATTCTTGTTATTCGTAGTTATTTTGCTACATATAAGTTCGATTAAAGTTGTTTGATGTATTCTAAATATTAAATATAAGTCGGTTCATGCTGTATAGCTGTACATGGTTAAGGACACAAAAGTACATTAATAATAGGAAACTTATTAGTAACTGACTCAAAAGATTGGTCGCCTTCGTTCTCTATTGGAAAAACACCAACGCATGCATTCAATACTCTATGAACAAGTTTGACCGATGTGATTGTGAACCACGAATAATCTGTGCAGAACTCATGTGAACTAATACCTGAATATATATTTTATAACAAAATAAAAGTAGACAAATATTGGAATAAAGAAAATTTAAATCACTTTAGATTGATTTAACTGTAATAGTAGAGGTTATGATAAACATAAATAGTAATGTGTTTAAAATAACCAGAAATATCAATATAATTAGGTTTCCCTCACAATCATTTAAAATAACATTGTTGATAGTTTTCCTCACACTCAAACAAATTTATATACTTACTTTAATTCAGGCATAGCAGTGTCAAAATCATGAAAAACTTCGGGAAGGGTAATTGCATTAATAGCAGCTTCTCTGTTATCTTCTGGCAAGTCAACCATTCCAGGTCGAAAAGCCATTTTAATTTTAACAAAAGCTTCATTACAGTCTGCCAGTAGATATTTCGCTTTTCGTGAATAAATCCGAACAACACCCAAAAGCAAATGTCCTGATGTTCGGAGAGCCATCTTAACCTAAATGACACAATTTATTAAAAACTATTTTATTAGCATTAACAACTAATAATATTACTATTCTTGATTAATATCATTGTAATTACCTTAGGTTGAAGGATGCCATCAACTGATTTTTCAATGTTAGTTTCAAAAACATGGGCTTTAGTCAACTTCTTATCCCAATGGGCAGCAAGCCAAATTCGAGCCAGAGGCCCTTTTTTGGCAAGTACAAAATGTGCATAAAACATGTCGGCAGACTTGCTTCACAATCTAAAGAGATAATATGACAGTCATTACTAAAATTTGAAAGAAAAAAAAATTACAAAAAAGCCAAGTAACACAGAAACAATGATTTCTATGAAAAGGCACAACTATCAACCCCAAAAATTGCTAAATAAAGCTAACAAAATGAGGTTGCTGTGAAAGTTGAACAAAAGCAAAATAATCAAAGCATAACCTCAAAAGGAATAAGTGGGGATAACACAAAATACGTTAAAAGCAAATAATTAAAAGTTAATATAACAAAGTAAAACAATTAAATGTAAAAAAAAAAGTTAACAAAACAATAATTTTGCGTTTGGCGCCCATTTTAGAAAGGTCCAGATAAAGTTTTATGTCAGAATTCGGAACATCACAAACGATTGAAAAACTATGTTTAAAAACTAAAATAATCACTGTACCTAAGCTAAACACAACGTAGCTTGTCCACTTTAGTATAAAACACAATTAAACCTAAATACAACGTAGCACAAATTCATTATCAAAAATGTAAATAGAACACAACTCTTCACTAACAACAACAGACGTATTAAACATGGCGTCTAACGAACGCTCCCTTCCCTCGTCATCAAATTCAATTACCAACCTAACAAGCAATTCTACTCCAAACCTGTATCTACCGTTATTTTTTTTACAATGCTGAAATATTCACATAATTAGCTAGATTTAGAAAATAATACAATTAAAAACATTAACTTTACTATAGTTTTTAAGATAATTAAAAACAATTTTATGAGTTTTGTTTATCAACACTAATTCAGAAAATTTAAATTCTTCCCGTTCCCAAAGATTTGCCTTACACTATATTTTATAATTATATCACTATTTAATTATAGAAATTCAATTATTTTTAAAACTTAAGGATGATAACCTGTTGATAGCCATTTGTGATAGTGTCAATATACATAAGGAGCCTTATTAAGTATAATTTGAATAAGTGGTCACTAATATCAGAACCGTCGCGTGGGTAGGGCGACCGGGCGATCGCCCTGGAGCGCAACGGCGGAGGGGGCGCCACAGAGGGGGGACAATAATAAAAAGCACATAGTATTAATTAAAATTGCGAAATTTCTATCCACATCGCACTTTCTGATTCATTCCTTTTCAACTTTTTTAAACATTCTATTAGTCAATTGTGTAGCACGAAATACTGATCCGGGGTTTACATCTGGAATGAGGCATATTTTCTCATTGAAGTGAGAAGATTGTATAAGACAATAATTTTTGAATTTCTAAATTCACGAATCCTCTCGCGGGTTCATTACCTCGTAAGGGTGGTGGATGTGGGGATGGTCGGTGGAAATTCTTCCCGGCTAAGTCCGATGGTCTCCATACTTACAGAAATTGAAATGGACAAAAACAAATGTAAATAACAAAACATTTTTATTTTACAAGATACATATATATATATATATATATATATATATATATATATAATATATATATATATACAAGATATAAACCGAGGAGAGGTTAAACAAGAAGATTTTCAGTAGGGTTATGGGATACAAGTTTAACCATGGATATACGGTACAAATAATACAGGAAATACAGAGGCTTGGGATAACACGAGAATTAGATAGATAGATAGTTTAGTTTATTTGTCTAAGGAAATTCCTGTACAAATAAATATAATGGTATAATTAACAATGTTAGATCTTGAGTCTAGTACTGCATTCAAACATAACATTAACAATGTCCACAGCATTAATGACTAATATAATAACAGATTAGTAATATATATATACATAACAATTAGTAAAACTTTTTTTTTTTTTTTTTTTTTTTTTATATATTTGAGAAGTATAAGACAAATGACAATATAAATAAGCATTAATATATGTTATATGATTAACTTTACTACTTAACAGTTCAATGAACAGCCCTGTATGAAATAATACAGTTGGTTTATTTTTTTCGTAGTGTCTATTTTCAGTATCTCCTCCAAACAAGCACCTTCTCTGGATTCAGTGATAAATGCCTTCAAGTACTTATTTCTTGGTTCGTTGAACTTGATACATTGGATCAGAAAATGAGTTACCGGGTCAGTTACAAGGCAGTTGCATGCACCACATACCTCACTGGGTTTAATAGTAAAAGTAGCATCTTTTAAGTATATTTTCATAAAATCTTTACTTGCTACTCTGAGACGATTAATGGCTCTTAATTTGTTTAAATTCAGAGCCCTGAACTGAAGATAATCCTCTGGTCTGGTAACATTAAAGGAGCAGATTTTTCTATATCTTGGGTTTGATTTAGAGTTTAACACTCTGTCGATGTCTTTGGAAGCGTGATGGTTTTTTTTTTTTTTTTTCCATGATTTCATCTTTGAACCTCATCAGACCTTGAGAGAAAACACAAGAAAACAGCCCCTGACATACAAGTTTCGCCACAATCATCTTTACTTGGGTAACCCAGTTATAAGTTGGATCAGGTTTTCCAATGGATGAGTCTAGAGCTCTAAGCCTATTAAAGCATTGTCTAGGTAGTCTTTCGTCACTCATTAAGCTTAGCTTTGTCCAATAGTTGATCACTTTTTTCAACACTTCAACACTTAATGGAGATCTCCCACTTTCAAGGCGAGCCACATAGTTCGGTGTATTTCTTGGCCAATGGAGCAATGATTTGATAAATCGAACTTGCGTCCTCTCCAAAACCTCCAGGTATCTCGTCCCCCAGATCTCTGCAGCATAGAGCAGTGTTGACGAGATCATCGAGTCAAAGAGGCTGGATTTTGTCTCCCAAGAGTCGCTTTTTCCATTTCTTAGGATTGCCATCACTTTGGTCGCTGCAACAGATGATCTATGTAAGAAATGCTCCGCGGCTCTCTCAAATTTTCCAGAAGAAGAAAAGGGTACACCCAGATATATAATACGGGAATTATGTGAGGATAAGACGGAATACAAGAAATTCCTGAAAAGTGCGGTGCATGTGGTGGACAGTAAGGAACTTCCGTCCAGGAGGAAGTGGACCGAGGAGAGGAAGAAACAATTTTTAGCGATATCCTCAAGCAGAGATGGGCAGAAAGAAAGAAATTGAAAAAGAAACCAGACATAGTCGCGTAGTCCTTCAGGGCTGTTTCGCGTCAAATAAATAAATAAATAAATAAATAAATATATATATATATATATATATATATATATATATATATATATATATAATAATAGATATAATCAAGTGTTTATGTAGTATTTTGTTATAAACACTTAATGCATACAACGCATATACGTACTTTATATAAACAACATATGTACACATAAAACACCTCTATTTTTTTTTTAATCTATTTTTATTAAAAAGATTCTCGTCTACTTCAATGACTTTGCCAGGCCCTCCATTTTTTTCAGTTCACCTATATAACATATTATGGGTACAAACCTTTATTAAAAATTTGTTCCACATTATCAAACTTTTGTTTCAGCTAGTTTCAGCTGCTCTTAGCCCTATTGTATTGTTGTTAAATAATGAGACCAACCATAAATGAATTTTAATGCTGTTCAAAAGGTAGCGTTTGACCACTCTAACCAAGTTCCTTTTCTTATAGATACGTTTTTGTTACAACTGCTACGAAAGCATCTCCATTTGGCCTTTCTGTCAATCTTCATTTCATGACCTTCTTCACAGAATTTCACCTTTGGAATCATCTCTACCTTTTGAAAATATTTGATAGCTTCTTCTTCTAAAGACGGCAATTCCCACAGTGTAATAATATCCATTTAAAGAGATGACAAAATAATCAATGGAATAACTCACAGGTAACAGGAGGATAACAACAGCTTACACCAGATAAGAAGGGAGGATATGTGATGTAAGATAAGATAAGAAGAGAGTTTCTGTCCCGACCGGATTGTTCATAAGTAACGAAAACAGTTTTGTTTGAAATTGAAATAGACAAAAAGAAATGTAATAATTCCCACAAAAATAAGAAAACACTTTAATTTTTCAACACATATATGAAATTTTTCAACACAAAAATAAATGCAATAACAAAAAAAATGAAATAATAGGAAAGGAAGAAGGACTCCAGGTGACAATTAAAGGATATTGATGAGGTTCTGCAGGACGGTATTGAGTCAAATCCGTCCACAAGTTCCCACAAACTTGCCAGGGAGTGTGGTCTGTTGAAAGATACTGTTAGTCATCATCTACTCTCCAAGGGGAAGGTGAAAAAGAGCAATAGACTGGTCTCTCATGAACTTACTCCTCAACAATCAGCTAAGAGGTTAGAAATTTGAGACCATTTATTGAAAAATCCCTTCTGATAGGAGACTCAACCAGAAAATTGTCACCTGTGATGAAAATTGGGTTTACTGGCGAAATCCGAATACTCTTGAACAATGGTTAGATCGCAGTCAAATTACTTTTTCGGTTGCTGCAAGGGGACAATTCGAAAAAAAATATCCATTAGTGTTTTTTGGAATTTTGAAGTTGCTATTCATCACGAATTTGTTCCTGATTGATGCTCTGTGAATTCTGAACTCTACTGCGAACAACTGGAAATATTTTTTTTTTTTGTCCTCCCCTTCCTCGCCGTTAAGGCTATACAGGGTTTTCCCGGCCCAGGGGGTATGGGCGGGGATTTAAAAGACTCCCCCGGCACCGGTACGCGAGCTCATGACTATTTTATATCATTGAGTCATATATCAGGTTCAGTGCAGTGCACCTGCTTAGACCATTCCGCCACCCCGCCCACAACTGGAAAGATTGTATGCGAAGTTGTCAGAGTGTTATTCTGTTTTGATCAAAAAGGAATTTTATTCCAACAAGATAATGCTGATCCCTCACACTTCCCATCCAACCAAAGAAAAGTTTAAAGAACTTCATGGGCTCGAACTCTTGCCTCATCTACCATATAATCCAGACCTCACACCATCGGATTACAACTTATTTAGATCCATGGCCTTGGCCCATTTTCTTCAAGGAAAAAAATTTGATAATTTTTCAGAAGTTGAAATTGCAGTCAAAGAGT